AAACAATGTTGCTAAAATCTGAGTGTACAAACCTGTAGTTTGTCATAAATCGTATTTGTAAACCATGACGTCGAAAATGATTCATTCTGAATGAGCGTATGTACCATGCCTACTTTGAAACATTTTGTCACTATTTCATTCATGGCATTTTTAGCACATAAAGACAGCGAAAAGTACACCATTTTCTTTCCGAACATTCTCATTTACTTATGTCAGAAATTTCAAAACGCTTATATAGTGTTAGTTGGATTTTTCGCACGCTTCAACTTAAATCTCATAATAGCCTTTATCATTGATTTTGATAGCGGATGAGTGAGGCTGTTAACCCTACTAATTCTCTTCACCTTTATTCTTTATATGGCTCTTCCTTGTGTTTTGTATTGCAATAATTACTAATGCTCAGTAAATTGTCATTGTCAATGAGTTTAGGAAATATGACAGTTTCTGTTATTGTGTGGTATCTCATAAATTCATGACATTTGATCAACTCATTTCAGCAATCATATTCTTTTATCATCCTCAACAATTATTTTTATTCTTATCCGTTGGTAGAATGGTTGTTTATTTACAAAGTTTTCCATACTTATTGTGCAGAATTTTCGTTTCGATTTGTTGTCTACCGTTGTTGAATTCAGAAAAGTAGCTAATTGTTATCTAGCTTATGGTATGTACGTTGTAGATTACATTTATGTAACAATTTTAAGGAGCATTTCTTCTCTGATCGTAATTTGACGCGTACAAAAGCCTTACAAACTTCACAAGAAAGGTTTGTAAAATGTATTCTCTATGTTGTCGCTGAGAATAGTACTGTTTTATAGATATACTCTTCGTTTTGATTTCGTATTGTAAACGTGATTCTGTTGTTCGGACTGACTTCTCTAACAGGTTCAGCGAGGACCATCAACAGTCGACTAACTGCCACTAACCATGAGTATGGTCTACGTCTAATTATACTCTAGTAATCGTATACAAAGTGATAATGTCCTATCTTCAAATATTGGAGAATAAACTTTCTGTTTAGTTTGTTAATGTATTTCTCGAGTTTATCACTCTATTTTATAAGTGATTTGCATTGGTTAGAGTTTCATATATTCGACTGTAACTTGTCTTGTTCCGAAACGCTAAGTAGTTCGCACATCCTCATTATATGTATTCTTGTTTGAAATACTTTTCATAAAGTCTAATTTCTTACACCATTCAATTTCTCAGTACCCAAGTAGGAGCATTCAAGGTTGTGCTCCTGCTTTTTTCATTTTTCAATTGTCCTGTAATTTGTAACATCCGGTGAGATGACAGTCATAAACACTGTCTACTATTAAATACCCTATTCAATTAGATTATTATAATCAGACAAACCAATCATACAATTATTGTGAGTCTTACATCCTAGATTTTACATGATTGAGTATAGCTATATGGAGAATAACTTGAATCTACAGAAAGTGTAATTCACAATCAAAATTTAGACCACACACTCCCAATAATTTATTCGTCTGAGATTCCTCAAATGAAGTTAAGCACTTTTATTGACAATAATAATGATACTAATCTAATACAGTAGTAAAATTTTACAGATTCGTTCCAATATCTCCATGATTTTAAATGATACTAAACGAATTATTCACACATTGTCCATCGTATTTACAGAATGTGAACCTTCGACTATCATTATTTGTGAAAATTTGATTTGTTTATGACGATATGCATAAGGTCGTCGTACGATAGTGATTTGATATTTGTGGAGAAGAGTGCTAGGTTCATGCATCATTATCATGGGAAGTGATATTTACAATCTCAATTTGAATGAAACGCGTGATGATGTTGTGAAGATCCGTCTGATATATAATAACATAACTTTTGATTGCAGCAAAACCTGAAAATTTCAACACATATAGATTTAATAAGTTAAAGCGATCCTACCTCTAATCTATACCATTATCTTTAGTTAGTTTATAAAGTTCAATATCAGTGAAATTCCGTTGAAAATTGAACACCCTCATTATTTTGTGAACGATGAAAGTGGAATACAATGAACTTTATTATTATTTAAACGAACGATTCACACAGAACACATGTACATGTAGGAATAAAATTTTAGTTTGAACCGGTTCGAAAAATTTTCTTCAATGCTCCAATATTGTTTTCTTTCAATGCATTATGACACATGGTTATCACATTTGTTTTAAACTTTCCAACTACAATATATGATAATAAAAAAACTCAAATTCATTCAAGATCAAATACGTTTTGGGATTACAGACAGTTTTCATTTATTGGCTTAATTTATTTAACTATAACTATTCCGTAACATAACATACTATTATGATCGTCAATACAAATGAGATGATGTGGAATATATCGGTCAACTTGAACGATAAAATCGTTAGTGAATTTTCATACACATGGATATCGAATCAAATGTATGTTCATAACTGATCAACTATTATTGTCATTGTCAAACTTATGTATATATTCTGGGTGCGTGTAATACAGTGATATAACCTTGCCTTCTCTGTTCTTTAGTTTGTGGGACTGAAGACCGGAGATAGAGTACGACATCGATATTGGACTCAATCGATTATATGGAGGATTTAATGAGTTATTGAGTTAACTCGTGTATATAACTATACATTTTCGTTACACATGACTTTCAACTGTGAACTCATAGTATCAGTTGATTCTATCTATCATATTTTGAGGAATGAATGAAGTGGTTCTCAGCCTATTCCATGAGCCTGAATATAGTTACTAAGTTGCTTACTCAACACACACTGTGATTGAGAAGCTTACAATTTTCCCAGTTAACATATAAAGTGTATTACGAAGAGGAATCAGTGAGAAGCTTTGAAGTAAAAGCTTTTGTCTGTTATCGACAACTGATGAAGTGTAGTTTTACAATCGAGGAAACACGCGTTTGTGGATGTTATAACCTACTTCAGTTGTCATCAAAAACAAATAAACTGTAAGTTAGTTCTGCTCGTTGCACTTGACGGTTTTTTCGACTTTACTGGTAAACCAGAGTTGCTGGTTTTCGTCCTCTTAAAATTCGAATTTCTTTTATTAATTCTCACTCGTCATAGTTAGGATTTTGTAAATGTCATATTTGTTGGAGTTTTCAAGTTTAATGTATAAGTAATATTTTCCTACTTACATAATATTCCACCCGATTTTATAGTGATATGTTTTTGATTATCCTAGAGATGCTTCAATGATGTCTATGCGACGAGCTATAGAAGGACTCTCAGTAGAGCAAATCAAAGGTCTTAATACTGCTACACTTAATCAGCCGACACGAATGGCTGATTTCGAAGAAGCAGTCGGTCGTGTATGCAGATCTGTTTCAGCCAGTGATGTTGAACGTTATGAGAAATGGATGACGGAGTTTGGGGCTACATGAACTGCTGATTTACGTATACCGATGTGGACTTATACCATTCGCACATATTTGATTGGCTTATCCAGATTTTTACCTTGCAAATAAATGTACTTGATTGTCATATCTCAAACCTACGTGTCTCAAATCATCAGATATATTATATGAATACTACATTCATAGGTCAAATGGTCGAATAACCGAATCAAGCCTTTCAATTAATTACACTTTACGATTGAGAAAAAATACATCAACTGCCTCTTTTTTGGTGGTTTACACTGGAACATCTCAGTTCTCGTCTATCATTTTTAACCGTGATGGGATATTTTTTCACTTTACACTCGGTAGAATGTTTTTTCATTTGATAAATATTTTGTGTCTTTCAGTTGTCCGAAAATAGGCTAATACAATCTTTGTTGATAACTGTACGGGTATTTATCAGCCACATATTCGTTCTATAGAACTCCTCAGTGTATTTATTTTATCGACTGTTTAATTGAAAACCTGTGAAACATTTCGACTGGGAACGGGAAAGAGATAGTCGATTTTGTGATTTCCCTTTCTAATTAGATAACTCCTTATGAGTTGTGTATCATCATTGTAATTGCAAATATATTGAACAGTTCTAAGAGTTACCAGTTCATATTACCGAATTCGGTACTACTACATCTACTCATCACAGTTTAAAAATTAAGACAATGAAATAATATCGAACATGTATCTCACACTAAAGTCGACAACCTATTTAGACCACGTTGTAACAGTCATTCACTCAAGATTTCGAATCATGTGCACTGTATGTGTTTGTAGCCAATTCATCTGACTCATCCAGATCGGAACATTCGACTGGATGTAACACTCACTGTGTGACGACTATAATCGATTTGACATTCCGCAGGAGAGAACATTACTACGGAATACTCTACTTAATGTGAGTATAACTTTAATAAAATAGTGGATTAGACACAATAATTAACGTTACATAAAATCGAAAATTGTCCAGTGTCAGTTACAATGTTAAGCACAAGTGACTTATTCTAGCTTTTGGACAGGTCAATTCAACCATTCTTTTTGAGTCACGTTTTGACCGTGTTGATTATTCACTTATCAACCCTGATTGTTTTTATATGAGCGAATGTGTGTGAACACTTCTTATCACATTCATCACATTTCTGTAACTTATTTTTTATCTGGCTATAAATATTGATTAACGCTTGATTAAATGTAGTTGGCTCACATGCCTTCTCCAGTGCTCGTTAGTTTGCTTGGCTCTCTTCTCTTCACTTCATTTCTCTGATTGTCTGTTCGAATCAATGAGTATATACAAAATATACACATCCAAACATCCATTCTCGTAGTTAACTTATTTACTCCGTTATTAACCAACACGATTTAAGTCGATTATTATGTACGACAATAGTCAGGATGTATATTTCGACAGCAATCATTCAATAACAATCAATCATATTATCTAATTGGAGTCAGATCCAGTGCCACAAAACGTGAATAGGCATTAAAAATGTATATTTGGAATTTATATTGTTAATAAAATGTCAATAGTTACTTTGTGTTAGTTATTTTAAAGAAATAATTTGATGAACTATCTAGGAATTTCTGTTATATATAATTAGTGACCACCGTGATCTTTTCCAGATCCTGGTTTATGACAGCCAGTTTCACAATGTTGTGCTTTGTCATGAGATCCATGACCAGCAGCATCTTTGTCGTGGCAGTCTTTCGGACAGTGTTCAGATGATGTGCAATGCTCTTTGCCTTCATGACCATGATGGCCTTCTTCATGATGTTCATGATGTCCATGTTCATGATGTCCAGCTGAAGTGAAGAATATAAAGAAATTCAATGAATCAGGTTTACTGTGTGGATGAGCCATCCATTTGGTTTTTGTGTGTGTGAGTTAAAAACAGAAAACCGACGCTTTATAATAAAAGATCAGTCATGGCTTAGTGCATCTGGTGTATCTGGTAATGAATATTTTAATTTGCACTATTTATGTTTACCAATGTTAGTACGTGACTGGATTATGATTAAAGCACAAATTTATTGGAACTCACGGACGGAAATAAGCGTTAGCCCAAACTCATACATAACTCTGTAACCCTAAACAACAGTCAAGATTGTTTGTCGTTTCATATTGATAATCATGGCTAGGTACGTCAATGGTTTGTATTTTCAAAAATTAGCTACTGATATTGATTTTGAATACAATCTGTTGAAAGCATTTCATACTGATATAATGTAAAGTCAGTATTTACGGACGTCAAATAATTAGGCTTTGTGTAATGTACGAGCCTAAACTATATAGTCTACACGAGGCACATTTATAGGTTTTGACATGATTGTTTGACATATGAGCTGAATATATGACGCTCCAGTGGGACAGTAGTAGACAAGGTAATCACCAAGCATTGTTGCTAGCATCCCAATTGTCAGTTGATTTCTGTCCATTATTCTTGTAAACCAATTTGAAATGTGATGACTGCTTGCAAATGTCCAACGCACTTTCGTGTGGTTCATTCCGGACAATACTGGAAGTCAATGAAGATAAGTGTATACTTCAGAACTGGGTGATGTTGGTACAAAAGTGTTCTGAACATTGTACTCAGTGATGTTCGTTAACCACACATTTGGTTAATAGATCAAATACGGCAGTACTAATGACGAATAGTTTATTTGGTTATGCCCGGAGGTGGGTGAGTGTGAGACTAGTACTAGACTGGATATCGAGTGTATGAAAGAGGCCTCCATCATGAGTGATGACACACCAATGGAACTTTGACCGTGAGCTCTTAACTAGTTTAGTAAGGTGATCACCTGTGAGTAGAACATGCTGAACTGCAGAATCCGATGAGTTGTTTAAACGAATTAGTTTGGCAATCAAATAGATAACGAGTTCAATTCATCCATGAGAAACCATAGGTGGTGATTGCACATCGATAATTCACTTTCGGTTTGCAGAAGATGTATTCTTTTCAAATGACTCTCACCACTTCGAAAAATGATAACTGTGGAAAGCTATTGCCTAGTTATTATCATATACTGTGTATCGAGGGGTGAATTCCTTTAGTTAACTTACAAACACTACGTATTGGGTATGGGATAATGGAGGCGATTAGCTGAGAATCTTGCGTGTAGAACTAGTGCTTTGTTAGAACTCATTGGAAAGTGTATTTGCATCTCAGAATTAGCACACCTCGAATATTTTGAATTGTATCATTGAGTTATGGAAGAAGTTTATCTCTGGGAAATGCAGATTCGAGCTTTGAAAACAAAATTCATACTATAGATTTTCTCGTTTGAAATGTTGTATAACTACCTCAACTCTTTGGTCGTGTAAACATTTGTCAGGCGTTTGAAGTAGTGGTCGGTAAAATCATTTTCCGACGGAAATATCAACGAATTGTCAGGTGCATCTATCCGTCATCAGGAGGATACAAAAGTGTGCACGATCCACCCGTGACTATTGACACAAAGTATTCACAAGCACTTATCATGTGAAATATGACGTGGATTCCATGTGTGATCAATAATTCACCCATTTGCCTAATAACATACAATTAGTTGTTTTCAGTTGAATGAATTTGTGAAGGAAACAGACATAGTTTACTGCAAACCCATATGTTAGACGAAGTTGTTGGATAGAATGAGTGTATTTAGCATGATCAAGACTTTGCAATAGTACTTAGTTAGTGGATATAAACAACAGCAAACTGATGGTTTCGCATGTGCTGGTAGAATTTGAGAATTAAATAGTTACAATCAAATCATCCAAATGCATAATACTACTTCAACCCAATTCAATGGCATGATGTGTCGTTGATACTCGATTGAGCTATTTCGACTACTAACATGCTAAACCACTACCAGTTCATCATTCTAAACGAACCATGTGTTACGACTACTGGAAATCAATTCTATATTTACTAATGCCGTGGTTTTACATTACACTGTTGGACAATTGGACTCAGTATACTAACAAACTTTATTACTAGTCAATTACCTCAGCATAATCATTACAATAGTTTGAGTTAAAGCATAATTTAAAAATAAAGTATAATTCACTTACATCCGTGAGAAGACATGGTTGATAATAACTGTTGTTGAGTTTACGAGTTACTCCATATTCTGTTCGTGCACAGCTTCGTTTATATAATGGAAAATTTACTTCCGGTTTGATTAATTAATTGCATAATATCAATTGAGGTCGGTTAGATATCTACAAATTGTTTTGGATGAACTGACAGTTTGTTCATATGTATCAACCATACAATCCATGAATTAATTATCATGTTTCATTTTTATTTTATGCAAAATATAATATGAGTTTCATATGATTCGTGAAAAATCTTTGCATCAAATAAAATAGTTGGAAGTGATTTTGTTTGAATAAACAATTTATATGTTGAATTTTTCAGTTTGACGTTATTATGGTGACCTAAAATTAGTTCGCAAACAAATGTTATCCTGAAAATAAATAAGTGAAGCTTCATAGATTTTAATGTACTTTTCATTTCGGTTACAATCGTACAGTGATCAATCTGAGTGTAGATGTTCTTGTCATATTGCAAGAATCTCATCGATCAAATAAATGTCAAGTATAACTAATTCGTGAGTTTTTAGTGTATTGATAAAACAGAGCTGGACAACATTTGAGATGGAAACTGAAATCAATAATTTGATGGTTTGTATCATTTCTTGGGACAATCTGATTGGTCTCACCGATTGCCTGAAGTATCATGCGAAACTCAGGAAAGCGAAAACTGTTGGATTTTGTTCGTGATTACATTGTTATACAGGGTTTTCTTAAGCTGTGTTGTAAATCCTTTCGTCGATGTAGGATTAAGCGTAATGTTAGTTCGGTGAGAAGATATGTCTTGAGCCAAATTGAATCTCTTCAAACGTATATATAGTTGAATTAGAAGAGAGTATTACACAGAGATTACGTGCTAATGAAGTTCTTTCCTCCCCAAATACAGTGGATTCATCTGCAACCTCGACGGAACTCCATTAGACATTTGTTTAATAAGTTCAATTTTGTAATTGTTATCTTATAGGTGTTTGATGTTTTCCTTCCAATGTTTACCGTATATGGTTGTGATTTGTTAGTGAATATAACCTCTTTATTCTTATCATTCTTTCTAATGTCCTTACATTTTGTGTTGTGTACTATTTTGTAATTCGCTTTCTTTACTACCACTTTAATACGTTTTTTTTTGTAATTTATACTACTGTAGTCGGACTCGCTGCATTTACGTGTATAAACGTTACTGATGTTAACATTTCGAATGGTAGAATATATTGCTTCCGCTTTACTTTCAGAGTTTTATGAAACACTAATATAGTTATTCATACCATTCAATATGTATATCATTTTTAAATTTCGTGTCATCAGTTTTCGAAATATTTTAGCATCCTTGAATAGTGTTATTGAAACTGGTTTATATTAGTTTTTTCTCATTTGTTTGGATTTTACCTGTGGTGTATCAAATAGGAATAGATCTTCATAGATTCAATGCTATCATCGAATCCACTTTCATTGTTGTTTGGTTTCTTTTAGTGAGATTGAACTCTTCCGGTGCTTCCAGTTAGTGAATTATCGTATTTTCTTTATAGGCTTTGAGTATTTGATTATCTTGATTTTATTCAAGGAATAGATTGATAAAATTCAGTTTTCTGAAAACTATTATTAGCAATACAAGAATGGCATGAACAAGTTTCTCTAATTCCAGTTGGAAATTTCGCTTGAAAGAGTGTTCTGTGTCAGTATATAGTTTCTCTATATTGATAAAGGTAGATTGGAGTGTTTATTTCTTCAGTTATCTTGGATGTATTCTTATCGCTAGTGAATCGGTTACTGATGAAATTGAGGCAAGGTACAATGTGGTTACATGAGTTTATTATTCGCGCAATGCGTTCACAACTCAGCGTTACTGCACTTCTGATTCTAAATATGTCAAGCTCACTGTAACTTTCAATAGTGTAAACGTCGGTGAAATTACAGGAAAAATCACACCGAAACTTCATGAAATATATCGTTAAATATGTCTTTAATTAGTAGATGTAGTAAAAATGTGAAAATATTACTGATAAAATTATGTTTTCTTCAGACATTACATATGGTTTCAGGGATATTTCACTGACAGAAACCCTCGATTACACATGCAAACAACTTTTAAGAAATGAATCAAGAATACTTATACTGGCGATGACAATAAGTGAGTTTTTGCTGATACGCATCAAGGATAACCAACTCATATTAAATAACGAATTTGGAGGTAAATAAATGGAGAATCGATGAGACCTTCTCTAGATTCAATAACCACTGGTAATGTTCTATGCAAACTAGAAAATGGACCAGTGCGAGATGCTCTGAATAAGTTTGAATACCTCTGTTGATATGCAAATGACACGCAAATCGTGTACGACTATCGCATCGATAAGTAAAGACTTTCGAATAGTTTCGAGTGCGTTCATCCAGACACTAATTTCAACAACGAAGAGGAAACTGGCTACAGTATAGCTTTTCTTGATGTTCTCCTTTCCAGAGAGATGGAATGTACTGTGAAATGTGGTTTATTCGCAATGTCTGAGGCAGCCAACACACCCACTTCCATAGATTTACACCTCTTCAGTACAAGATAAACCTGGTCAAGTGTCTCAGTCATAGAGTCAGATTATTGTTTTGAGGATAGTGTAAATGATGAGATGGATAAATCAAAGGATCCACAACGAAATAACGACTACTGCTATAACAGAACGCGTATTAAACAAATTGGGATTTCGAAGCTATTTCGCGGACTACTTGCATGTTTATTGTATAACTATCACATAATCAGATTATTGTATTTCTATATTCTCGGTACAGTGATTTCC